AAAAAGTTACTTGGTTTTTCTCAGATACCAGTAAATAAAAAATCTTTCCTTCCCAAGTCTGTAAGGTCACACAAGATCCACAGTGTGGCTTTCTGATATAAAATAAGACTGAGAAGTAGATGTTGTGCTGTCCGTGGCAATGCAGATGTGAAGGGTTCGATGATCTTCCAAATTTCTTCAGGGTAACTGTGTTCCATCTCAGATGTCTCACTTCAGACAAACGTGCCCTGCGCCAACACGGTTTCATAGTGAGCTTGCGTGTGAGTTTTGATAGAGCCTTTTCCAATGTATCCGGTGTGAATGAGCATGTCCAGGGCCTGGGCTGCTAACCTAACCTGCTCCTTCCCTGCAGGTGTGCTGACAGTTTCTGCAGTTCTGGGGCCAGCAGAAGCCTTCTAGCTGCAAGCAGGGAGATCAGGTGCCACTCTCGGGTCCTTTGTCCCTCATTGGCGCGGCGGGGAAATGCCTGTTTCCCAGGAAGGGAAACAGTCTGAAAGCAGCTGGCAGAGGCTCTCCCGTCCCCTGGCAGCCAGAACTGATGCTAACGATGCGCACATTTCCTCACAGCCCACAGAGATGAATCATATGCAGCCAGCGCTCGATTCCAACTGGGGGACTCTCCACTGGCACCCTGTATATCTGCAGCAGGAACAGGAAAACGCACTAAACTAGGCATAATGTTTCATTTCAGAGATGGCTTCTACACCAGAAGGCACATCGCACGCCCCCCCCCCCCCCCCAGCAGATCTGGAGGCAGACAGGTATGGCTGAGGCCAGAGAAACAAGAGTGGGGCTGTGCGTGGAAAGCTTCATGATGCTTGCAGCCCATGAGGGTAATGACCTTTGGCCCCGTCTGTGCCCATGGAATCAAGGACGGTCCCTGCATGCGGGCGGCATAGGCCGTGACACTGATGTGGGCATGATGAGTTTTTACATGAGGCCTGAGGCTCTAGCACGGAGACATAGGCAACGCGGGCTCTGGCAGTAGCTGGCTCTGCATTTGGGGCACTAGTCTGTGATGCAGAGAGGTGGTAGCCAGGACTACCGCACAGATCTCCATCCTCTCTCTCCGGGCAAGCAGAGTAAACACCAAGGCTTCAAATTCTCCTCAGAGTCGTCATCACAGGGAGGTTCCTGGGTGCTGGCAGTATTTCACTCCTCACCCTACCAAGCTGGGTTTCCTCATTGTGGAGCTGGCAGGAGTTGTGGTGTCCACAGAGGGGCCCTTGTCTGTGTGTTCTGCTGTCTGTGCAGTAACGCCAAGGGCCTTTCCTCTGGTACTTCTCTCCGGTCCCACGGTGAGGATTATGTGTCACCGTACCCCAGACCCTGAGCTTACGCTACCTCACATTGCAAGCAGCCTGGAGACTACAGTCAACACACCTGGGCTTGTGGGGATCGCAAATCCAGCCCCACTTCTCCACGGGTGGAACTGGAGGTGGAGGGACAAATTGCTCCCATGAGCCTGACTCTGAAAGGCTGAAACATGCTTTCTGTCCTCTGTGTGGCTGCTTCTCTAGTTCTCACTACTTACTGCCTACAGTCTGAGGGAAGGGAGCAGTAAAAGTAACTTTTCCTCTGGAAAGTTTCAAGCGGTGTAAGCTTTCTAATGGTCTCCCCTGCACACTTGGCAAGAAGCTTTTACACAGAAACGTGTTGACTGACTTTATTTCACCGAGTTTAAAGACGCCAGGGGTGGGGAGGAGCGATGGCCAAGATGTCTCTTGCTTTTCTTCCAGCTCCAGTATGCCAGGCGCCCTCGAGTCCCGAGTGTGCCCATCTGTCTGCGAAGCAGCGTCCCAGCTTCATCTTTAGGGTGATTCAGCCCGGAGAGTTTCCATCGCACCAACATGGTTTTTTCCCAAGTCAAGGCTGAGCTTGGCCAAGAATATCAGCACAAGTCACCGCCCCCGGAGGCCTGAGGCGGTGGCGCACTGTTGAGGAGAGCAGAGCAGCCTCAGCTGTGTAGGCAAGGTGCAGACAGGATGCGGGCTGGGAAGTGACCTGCCCTGATGGAAACCCAGGCTGCGGACAGTGGACACCTTCACTCTGCCCTTCTGCAAGGCACACCCTGGGTGTGGGCTCCAGAGCAGCAGCTGGGAGAGCAGCCACCTTCCCCAGGTCAGCCACAGGTCCCAAGGCCGCCTCTGAGCCAGCCAAGGGCACGCTGCCCATGGAGACATGGCACACCGCTGGTGGCCGAGGCCTCAAAGCCTACTCCACAACTCTGTCCCCTGCACCCCAGAGCTGCCTGCTATGTGCTGGGTTACAATGCACAGCTTTGGGTGGTCTCTGGCTTCCTGTGTTCGGTGAGTGGGGCCAACGGGGCTGTGACACCCTCAGACCTCCAAACCAGGTGGCAGCTGACCTGCACCGCCAGTCCACACTTCTGGGGCCCAGAGGCGGCAGACCACAGGATAGCATTGGACTTGGCCTTGGTTTACCATAGAGTAAACCAAGCGAAGGGGCAGGGCATCAAGATGTGGGCCTTTCTGGTGCTGTGATGGAGAGAACAGGAGTCAGCACCGTAGAGCATGCACGGAGCCTCTGCACTTTCAGCCAGGGCCACACAGCATGGGAGAAAAGAGACATTATTAGGAAGGCAGACAGCAGCATGCACTGCAGTTCAGCAGAAGTGTTAGGAAAATAGAAATCAGCTGGACAGCAGGTGGCAGTTCTTGGGAAGCCTGTAATCATATTTCTCATTTTATATCTTCATCTGGCTTTAGCTGTCCTGTCCCCAAGCCATCGAGGAAAGCCCAGGCCTAGAAAAACAAACAGTCCAGAGATGACCATGATGCCTCCTTCCAGAGTGGAGGGATCTGAGTTGCACTGGCGTTGCCTAGGCAACCGCAGCAGGTGCACCTGCAGCCCTGGAGGGGTCACCACGGTTCAGTCCCTGCTGGCCTCATGTCTTGTGAGGGCCCCCTGCTCTGTCTGAAAAGCGGCCCATGGTCTCCTGTGGCCCTGATAGCTGTCACTGGCCACACTCAGCTTTGTCTGCTGCCATTCCCCTAGCACTGTGGCCTTTTACTGTACTTCATACTCAGCTGCACAGCAGGGCTTTCTCTCTGGGCCTTTCACAGACCCCTCCGTGGTGCAGGTCACACTTCTCAGCATACTGGGAGTTGCACTGTGAGTGGAGCAGAGGTTGCCATGTCCCCTGGTTTTGAGTGGCCTCTCAGGGCATGTCTTGACCCCCGTAGACTCCCCTGGGCTCCAACTCAGAGGTCAGCAAACTACAACCCCTCACCTGTTGCAGTTGATGAGTGAAGAATGATCTTTGCATTCCTCAGTGGAGAAGGCTGAAGGCGCAGCAGAGCCTGAGATGACGAGAAACTTGAGTGTCAGTGCCCACAGGGAGAGCCACCCAGACCCTGCCTCGCTTCCCAGGTGTGGCTGCACAGCAACAGCCGTCAAGGTGGCGACAGAATCTGCATCCACAGCGGCGAGAAGGCCCCTCTGTGAGGCGGGCAGGCTGCATTTCAGCCAGATCATGGCCACAGGCCCCAGAGCGTTCTGCCCACAAACTGTACTCAGCTAAGAGTCCTGTTCCATTGGCAGCTGGGAAACAGCCCACTTTCAGGATGCACTTTTTAGCAGTCTAATTAATTAGGTCGAGACAGTGTCTGGGAAAGCAAACTGTGCTGCACAAATTGCAGATGCACCTAGGAATTAAAGATTGAATTTCTCAACCCTCCGCAAGCTGGTCCTGTGCAGGCAGACACTGTGCATCCCGCTGAGTGGCCTGGGGGCAGGCGCCAGCTGATAGGCAGGTGTGCAGCCCCGAGGTGTGAAGCGTGGATGGTTACAGTGGTTACAGGAATAACTTACAGGTCTGACGGAGCATTGCTTTACACAGAAAAGTCTGGGAAGTTAGTGCAGCCCCTGAAATTTCCAGATAAGGACATCACAGGCTGGACTGATTTAATTAACAATATGCACAAAACACTGAGACGAGAGTGGATCCTGTGTCACAAAGGCAGAGGCTGCATGTCCCCTCTCAGTATGCTTCACTTAAATTGACTTCTGCACTGTCACTCATACACTACTAATTAGACAACTACACCTTGTGTATTTTAAATACTTCAGGGGAGTTTCTGTTTAAAAAAGGACAACTGTAAGCTCAGAAATGGATCCCTCTAACTGTACTTAATAATAGCAAACTGGTTCAAAATGAAAATTCTGCATAATTTAGCTAATAGTTCAACCTTCAAGCAATCTCAGTGAAACTATTTCCCTCTGAACAGGCACAGTTTACAAGAGCCAAATGTCTTCCTCTTTATTTGTAATAACAAAAATAAACTGAGGTCCTTACATATTTGTAGTATTTTTATTCCTAAAGGAAAAAACAGGAACTCTCATTGTACTTGAAGATTAAAGTTATGACCTCAGATTCTCTGCCAGCTTAGCATGGTGGAGAGAGCACGGTGCTCTCTCTAGGAAACGCTCAATTAGATGGTGCTCAGACATGCCAGGGTCCTGCAACGAATCAGTGTTCCCAGAGGGCTCCTGCAGCCCACGGTCCTGGCTGAACACGAGCATTATGCGAGGATTTTTCCTGTTGCCTGGCGAGTGACCCCCTACAGGAAGATAAGCGCTAAGCCAGGAGGGCGGAGCAGCAGCTACACACGTCTGGCTGCGCTTATCGACTTATCATATAAGGGAAGGAAAGTGATTGATTCGGATACTGACACGGTAGAATCTGGAGAAAGAGAAACAAAGAACACGAAAGCTGCTCTGTGAAGCCCACACACCCTCCCCAGTGAGCGGGGCTGTGTTTCCCAGCGCAGTCTAACAGTTCCTGCATGCCCAGAGAGAAGACAGCACCCGGGAGCAAAGCTGCCCCTGGGAAAGCAGAACGAGGGCTTTCACCAATGGGCTTGGGCTCAGCCATGCAGCACAGCCCGGTGTGTTAGGCGGCACCGCAGGACTGGGGACTCACATGTGCCTGGAAGTCTGCTGAGCTGGTGGTGGTTTACAACCCGAAGAGAGAGAGAATGTGGCAGATTGTTTTCTTTACTTTGGGCTGTGATCTTCTTTTGGCCGCAGCCTACAACAACTTTCGGAAGAGTGTGGACAGCACAGGGAGAAAGCAGTACCAGGTCCAGCACGGGCCCTGCAGCTACACATTCCTGCTGCCCGAGATGGACAGCTGCCGCTCTGCCTCCAGCCCCTATGTGTCCAATGCTGTGCAGAGGGACGCACCCCTCGACTACGACGACTCCACGCAAAGGCTGCATGTGCTGGAGAGCATGCTGGAGAACAACACGCAGTGGCTGATGAAGGTAGGAGACCAAGGCTTCACTGGGGAATGCTGGGGACCCCTGTGGGTCAGCTCAGCTCTACCCAGGACCCCGGGTGGAATGGGACAGTTGCTGGCACCCTTGACTGAAGGGCTGCTGCACTGGTTCTCTCCGGGGGTGAAGGGGAAAGAGCTCCCTGTTTCCCACCGCTCCAGAGCCCGCTGAAGCCCGGAGTCTGTGCTAGTGGGCAGAGGGAGTGCTGCCCTGCAGAGCTCACAGGCTGTTTTGTGTGAGGAGCTGGAGGGCAGACACCACTGCCAGGACCTTTCCCGCGGGTCCTGGGGTCTCAGGGAGGCTGCGAGCCACGGCCTCTTGGAGCCAGGAAAACGTGACAATCATGTTAATGACTGATACATGACGGATGCCGTCAAGTGCTTTACTAATTTCCTGAATTTCTTTACGAAAATAGATTGTGCCTCTTGGTAAATGAGAGGAAATTAAATACAGCAGACCTACGTTTCTCAGAATCTCAGGACTCAGTGGCAAAGCGCTCGTTTCGCAAGTGTCTCCAAGGCAGCGCAGCCCCCTCTCAGTTTGTTCCAGCAGCTGGTTCTGGACCTGTCCCCCCAAGATGCTGTCAAGCTGGACTCCACCAGGCTGAGAGGACCCACTGTGGATTCTCAGGCTGCTATGATCCCAGAGACTTTTTATAGAGCGTGTAACCAAAATAAGATAGCGAAAGCCCTGTTTTTCCCTCACAAATTGTCATTTTTCTACAAACCCCAAATGGCACTAGCATTTTCTTTATATGAACCGTATGAATTCTAAAGGAAGTTTAAAGGAGACATAGAAATTGGGTTAATTGTTAAGTATAGCAATGTATCAGAATGCTTATACAGTAGAGAATAATTATTTAAAGCTATGTAAAAGCTTCTAAAAGTTAGTGAACCTCACGTAGCACTTTCTTCCAGAAAAGTCACTATGTTCTCAGTGGTTCATTTTGCCATAAGCTTCTTGTTAGAACACTTATCTTAATCTCAGAATAGGTCCTGGACACTAATCTGTGCTTCTCATTAACTCCCTAACTTCAGGGAGGAAGCCACTGAGCCAGAGTCTAAATGAATGACTGTTCCCAGCACTGTGGCAGCTATTGTGACAAGAGAGGTCGTTCACCCCAAAGAACAGAAAACACGAGAACTTAGCCAAAGACCCCTCAAACACAGTGCAGTGGGGAAGTTCTCAGCAGCCCTCAACAGCTCCTTCTCAAACCCTCGCGTTTCTCTTTTCTCCTAATGTCACCCTGGCAGTTGTCTTAAATCTGAAATCCATAGATGGGCAAATAATGCTAAGCAGGACCCCCGGTTCTGATAGCTGCAGGGGCAGACTGCACCCTGGCATCTGCGACCTCCTTTCTGCTTCTTGGAGAGGTGTCACGCTCATGTTCCTCGACCTCCCACGTCTTGCCAGCAAGCCGGTGCGGGGGTGGGAGTGTCTGTCTAGTAAACACTCTAATCTGTGGCCAGCAAGTCCTCTGCTAAAGTAAACAGCCGTGAAACCTGAGAATGTTTTGCCAAAAGGACGCTGAGCTGGTGGCTCTGCACTGGTGGCTCAGTTGATCCCAAGCTGGGGTACCTGCAGCTCTAAGAGTGTAGCTCCTGCTGCTCCCCGGATAAAACGCTCCTTCTCCTGCATCTTTGGAATGGAATAGGGTGAGGCATCTACATTAGGCAACCCAGACCTCTTCTTTTCCAAGGCCAATGTGTAAATATTTGAGTGGTAGCACACTAGTGTCCGAAAGCCCTCTCCAGCTGCCCAGCTGAGCACCTTCAGAGAGGTGTTTATCTTTCCATCGGCAGTGCCTGCCGCTCTACAGGACTTGGGGATGTGCACCTGAGAATGGCAATTTGCCTGTGAGCACGGCCTCAGGCTTGGGAACAAAAGCAAAAAGCAAATATGAAATCCACTCCAAGTGAGTAAATGGAACTTCTCCACTTGTTTTTCTCCTCTGTGTTCTGCCACCTGTAATAATAAACACAGCTTTTCTTATAAGGAGCAAAATAGTGTCTAATGTAATCAGAGATAAGCCTTGTAACTGAAGGGCCAAAGCCATAACCCAACACCTATTTATAGATTACCAAGAAAGAAAAAGCACCTTCTGGGGGCTTCATTGTTTCACATATTTTCTTTTCCTTTTTTTTTTTTTGTCTTTTTCATTTTTATCGGTACCGGGGATCGAACTCATGACCGCCTGCTTGCAAGACAGGTGCTTATGCCGCTGAGCTAAATCCCCAGCCCCTCACATATTTTCTTTTGGGCTTAAAAAATGTTTCCGTATGTCCTTTCTCTCCCTGGTCAACAACAAAATGAAAAGATAAAAACAAAAAAAGCTACCTGGAGCCTCTGCGCTTTTAAACTTGTCTGAAGGGAAAAGCAGACTGCCCATCTGGTTGGGCTAACAGCAAACACTTGGCGCCCTGACTGCTCTCTGCGAAGGGGCTGCAGTGCACCGGGAAAGGTCCTGCACTGCCCCTTTCATCTGCTGGGCAGAGGAAGTGTCAGACTGCTGAATGAGCTCGAGCGTGTGAATGAACAGGGGAGGGCAGGCTGGCTTTCTGGTCAGTGTTTCACATGGACGGACTCACAGGAGTCCACACCAAGCTCACTCGGGACTCACAAGACAGCTGCACATCCTGGTCCTCTGCAGCTATGCTAAGCTTCTGCTGTGTGATACTAAACACACTGTGAAACCTGAAACTAACCTGCCGAGGCAGACTGTATTTTTCTTTTGATACGAGGAAATGTAGAAAGGAAATAACTATTTCACATTGATGAAAGCTTCATATTTTATACACAACTGCAAGTTCTATAGCCACTGTAAAACAAAAATGACTTTAGAAATAAAGCCAATGGCCATTACACTGATGTAAACATTTCTTCTGCCATAATACTTACTGTTTAAAGTAGCACACTAATGGGCTAGGAACCCTAAACTTCAATCTCAGTCTTTCCTGAAAAGTGGTAATATGTCTCCTCAGTGAGGTAGGAGAGTCCTGCTCACAGTCAGACAGCCAGCAGTGACACTTGCATAACCAAGATTCCTACCAATGGGAGACATAACAGTGAGGGACGCAGAGAGGGGCTCAGCCTTCCAGCCCCACCCCAAGAGAGAAAGCAGCGTGTGTGTGTGTGTGTGTGTGTGTGTGTGTGTGCGCGCGTGCGCGCGCGCGCGTTTGCACATGTGCGCGCACGCACATGCATGTGTGTTTGGTCAGGTATGGTTCCGAAACACTCGCAGTTCTCCAGAAGTAAAGTGCAGAGTCGGGCTTGCTGAAGGAAGACAGCCTCGCTGTCCTACAACCCCTAGCTGCCAGTGGTCTGGAGGAGCACAGCTGCGGTAGTGCAGTCGGCACAGCCTATATCCTGGCACATGATCCTACTCAGGGCTGCAGCAAACCTTGGGCGTTCAGTGGAGCTGACTGAATCCACCACCCAAGATCACAGGAAACAACTGCTGTCGCTTTATAAGTGAGCCAGTGCTGTGGAAAGTGTAGCATACTGAGGTTTGGAAACTGCAGTTTAGGGGAACCTTGGACAACATGGTACACGAGGGGCCAAAGCACAGGTATCTTAGGCAACACACGCGGATGTGGTACACGTGCTTACTACACACACAGTACCTGAGACATAAACACCTCCGCTTGTCCTGCCTAAGTTCTGTACCACACGACTGTAAAGTATAGTGCACTCTGTCTTACACGTTGCGCACGGTGCTGGCCTTCTGCAGTGCAGCAGCTTCTGTTTGAGGGGATGGATGCCGGGCAACTGCTCAGGCTCCCTAATGTGGGATATGGGTCACTACAGAACCGAGGGTCCTATCCTCCTGTGGGGATGCTAGACAGTCCACCTGGTTTCATCCAGGGCTTCTGAATCAGTATGGTTTTTCACAATTGATGAATGTGTACAGTTACTGTATTTGGAAGGTAAAAGGAATAATTACTTCATAAATGATAGTTGCATGCTCAGGCTATTCCATGGCACTTACTTTAACTCACAAAGTAAGTTTTATATATTTGTAGTAAAAAACAACAGTTTAAGTCAATTCTATTTGTAAAAATAAAACAAAATTATCATGAAAGACATGAGCAAGACTGAGAAATAGTCCAGCCACAAAACAGAAGAAAACAGGAAGTATATTCTTCATTTCCCCAACTTTCTCTTTCTTTGAGATCAGCACATCAGAGATTTAATACTAGCCCTTTGCTGTGATGGATTTAGTATCAAAATGCTTGGCTTTCATCTTGAGAATTTGCCCAGCAGCACTGTATGATGGTTAAGAGTCTTTCCTGGGTCACATGTGATATAAAGAGGGGTGGGAAGAAAGACTTTAGGGAAACAGGTAAAGCAGAAGAAAGATGTTTGTGTATGGCAGGGTGGGGAGGAGACAGACATACAGGCATACAGGCAAACTGGCAGACAGACAGATAGGTAGGCAGGCAACCTGTAACATCAGGATGAGGAAGAGCCACGGCCTGGGCAGTCTGTTGTGACTGGAAGAAAGAGGTGGTTTGTATCTTTCCATACCTGCATGGAAGGACTGGAAGCTCTGCAGATTTCCTGAGCTGAGATCCAGTGGGCTGTGTCATGACTCATGGACATGTGCAGACTATTTCCTAGTCAGGTGCTCAAAGCCTGGGGACTGTCTGCATTGCTTTAGACAGGGCTGCCTCCGCGGGCTCGCCGTTCTCCTGTCTCTGTGTGTGGCCGTGTGGTCCAAGGGACAGCCCGTTTCAGATCTGCTCCACACACGAGGCCTACACAGGACCCACTAGAGACAACACTAATGTTTTTCCCACCACGCTCCCTCTAACTTGAAGCAACTCAACCACTCTAGAATCCTTCCAGCACCAGGGAGCTGCTTAGGTGTGCAGCCTCGTGGCACCACTGAAGCAGCAGCAGTAACCCTGCTATGGGGTGGCCATGAGGGGTGTGGGCCAAGTCACCTGCCCTGTCATCTCCTTGGTCCAGGGCACCTGGCAGGTGAG